AGCCAAATTTTAGCAAACCGAACCCAACAATCTATGAAAATGTATCACGAGCAAATGAGGTCTGGCCCAGGAATAGAATGTTTGTTTACCACTTGAAAATCAATGTAATTCTCCTTCTGACCAAGTTAAAAATGATATAAGATCACCTCAAAAGAAACAAAAAGATCTGAACGTCTTCATCCATTCCAGATAAAAAAGGCTCTTGAAAATGAATAGACCGTAATCATTTTCTATCACTGTGTAACAAAAACAAACAAACAAACAAACAAAAAACAAAACAAAACAAAAAAAAGCACGTTTATTATCTCATAGTTCTTGTGGGTCAAGAGTCCATGCACAGTTTAATGGGGCCCTCTACTGAAAGTCTCAAAAGCAACAATGGAGGTATCAGACAGGGCTATGCTCTCATCTGTGGTTCAACTGGGGAATGGTGTGTTTTTAAGCTCACTCAGTGTAGGGACAGACTGCAAACCCTTGTAATTGTATTAATAGGAATGAAGGATCCATTTTCTGGCTGGCTTTTGGTAGGAAGATGCCTTTGATTCCTAAAGACTACCTGCAGTTCCTGTCCCATGGGGTTCCCCAAACAGCTACTTCCTTCCTCAAAGCCAACAATGGAGTGAGAGACTCCAGCAAGACCAGCAAGATGGGAGCTACTGATTTATGCAATAATCACATACACAGCTTCCTCTTTGCCATACTCGGTTGGTTAGAAGCAAATCGCAGATTTTGTCTACACTCAAGGGGGGCTAGGGGGCGGTAGGGACCAGACCTGCTGTGAGCAGTGAGGTGCAAGGATCCTGGGGACCCCCGGGGGCCTGTCTACCATAGAAGGAAGCTTGCTCAAGAGCACCCACAAAAAGAAACCCCAGAGTTCACATGACATTGAATGGTACAAGACTGAAGGAATGCTATTAGAACAATCAAGAGCAACAGAAGGCCTTCACTCCCACCATTTCTACTCAGCAGGGACTACAGGTCCTAGTCAGTGTCATCGGCAAGAAAAAGAAGTCATGCTTACCAGGAAAGGAAAATGTAAACTGTCTTTTTTATTTAACACATGACAGGTTATATAGAAAATCTGATCAAATCTATGAAAAATCTACCAGAATTAAAAAGTGAGTTTAACAAGGTTGTAGTCTGTAACTTCCATATATACAAATCGATTGTTTCTTCAAATGTGAATCACCAATGAATAATCAGAAATTAACTTAAAACACCTTTTACAATAACATTGAAAATATAAAATGCTTATGGATAAATCCAATCAAATATGTGTAAGACCTATTCAGAAAACTACAAGATATTATTGGAAATTAATCTGCAGATGTAACCCAGTCCAAATAAAAATCCCAGCAGCTTTTTTTTTTTAACACAAATTAAAATTGATTCTAAAATTTATGTGGAAAAACACAAAATGTAGAATGCCAAAACATCTTTAAAAAATTTGGGGGGGTCAATACTACCTGATTTCAAGAATTATTATAAAGCAACACTAACGGGAAAATGGTTGTTTGGATGTAAAGGCAGACAAATAGAACAATGAAACAGAACAGACATTTTAGAAATAGACCCACATGGATGCGGAAATTGATATTTGATAAAAGCACAAAGGAAATGTAGTGGAGTAAAGCTAAACTTTTTAATAAGTGATGCTGAACTAATTGAATATGTAACAAAAAGAACATTGATCCCTACCTCACCACTATACAGGAAAATTAATTTGAAATAGATCATAGCTCTCAGTGGGAAATAGAAAAATATAAAACTTCCAGAAGAAAACACTGAGGTTAGGCAATGATTTCTTGGGATACTAAAAGCATAATCTCTAAAAACAAAATGTTGATTAATTGATTGTATCAAAATATAAATACTCTGTTGTTTGGGCTGGGCACAGTGGCTCCTGATGGTACTCCCAGGACTTTGGGAGGTTAGCTTGATGGGAGGCACATGCCTGGCATCTCGAGGATCCCTGCCCTTCAGGTCACATCGTCATCCTAACCAAGAAAAGGGCAGGAAGTGGAAGGGAGCGGCCAGGCTGCGGAGGGGAGGGGAAGGGAGGGGAGGGTGCTGGGAGCGCTGCTGCTGGTGCTCCCTCCCATGTGGCTGCACGCGGAGCCCACCCCAGTCCTCTGTTCTTTGCCCCTTTCTGTCTCCAGAGCCCCATACCCCCCAGGATCAGGGAGCTGTGCAGAGTGGGCACAGGGCTCCCTGCCTGGTCCCTCCAGAGTTCCTTCTGGGACCTGGTGCTGAGAGGGAGGATGTGGGTCTGTGGGGAGGTGGACTGTGATGGGCAGGAGAGGCCGGCTGCCCCTCACCCCGAAGGAGAGGCCCGTGAGAGCCGTCGGAAAGCTCGTGCTCTCGGTCCTGCAGGGTTTTCCTTTCTAAGAGCCTACAGGGGTGTGCTTGACAGCGAATAAACAGCACGGCTTCGAAGTGTACGACTTGAGAGTAGGTTGACAGAGGATGCGCCTATGAAACCAGCACCACAGTGGGGACAAGGAACAGATCTGTCAGCCCCAGAGGCTTCCTCGTTGCAGTCCCGCCTCTCCCGGCCCCGCTCGCCAAGGCCCCAGGCGACGTCTGCGCTTGTCTCTGTCACTATAGCTTGTTTTCCTGAGATGCTTTACGGATGAAATGACATCCCAGCCACTCTCTGCTGCCTCCTATTTCAAGGGTCATCATGTTGTACTGTGCCCAGCAGGAGGACACGGGGATGGTCCGGACAGTGGCTCTCAGACAGGATGCGGTCAGCGATCCCAGAAACCACACTCAGTGGCCAAGCTGCTGGAATCCGTGGCAGAGACGACTAGTTCCTGGCGCTGCTCCGGGATACTGCCCGGCCCGATTTGGATCGCAGGTTCTGAGTAAATTACAGAAGAGTGGCAACAGGAATAAAACCCAGGCCCGCCCACTCAGGGGCTTTTCTGTAGCGCTCAAAAAATAATAACTATAAGTAAAAAGCATGTTAGAAAACAAAACACACTTTGGGCAAGGAAACCGAAGCACAAGGGCCTGTACCAGGTCGGCCACGGCGGGAATGGGTGGCCTGACTCCCGGGACAGAGGGTGCGTCTCTGGGTGGGGAACGGAGAGGGGGCACCCCCGAGTGGGAGCGCTGTGCGGAGAGGATTCTGACTCACTTCCAGGAGGAGGCTCTGAGCACACGAGCTGCCTTTTGCCAGCTTCCCTCCCACCCCCTCCCACCCACCTTCGTCCAGATGCCTCTCCATCCTCTGGGGCTCTGTGTCGTCTCTCCTCCCCGGGAGCATTTGTGACAGCCCAGAGTTTGGGGGGTTCACACCGTGTTCTCCGAACCCGCCTTCCTTTATCACAGTGCAGCGGCTGTGGGGTCAGCAGTGGGCTGGCCGTCCCCCCGAGGGCCAGGCTCTGTGCTCGGGGTGGGGTCCACCTTGTTCACCGGGGCTGCTTGGGGCTCAGCACAGGAGGCACCCAGGGCACCACCAAGGATATTCATTGCTGCCCCTCAGGGGTGGCCTCCCCCAGCTGAGGTAACGGGGGCTTGGTCCCCCCTGGGGCACAGCTGAGCTCGGAGGCCGGGTGCTGGGGGTGCAGGGAGTGGCAGGGTCAGGCCCCCAGGGTGAAAGCTGGGGCTGGGCATTTCTGGGCACCCCCTGGCCTTTGCTATTCCCAAGTCTACACTCAGCCCTCTCAGTGAGCCCACGGACCCCTGCATCCACACTAGGGCAGGGCGGGCCAGGCTGCAGGCGGCCGAGTCAGAGCTGTGGGCCTGCGAGAGCCCCTACCCTGGGGGACGTGTGCTGGGACCTGTGGTCTCCCACACGGAGCTGCAGCCAGCAGAACTCGGGAAGCTGGCATCCAGTGTCCCATGGCAGGGTGGGGGTTTACCAGGTACCACTAGCTACCTCCACATTAACTCCTTCAGCCTTGGATGCCCCTGGGGGAGAGGGACCCTGCCTGGCCCAGGGACTGTCCACAGGGGAGTCCCCGGAGCACACAGGAGGACCACCTGAGTCAGACCTGATTCATCCTCCCAGGCCTGTGGCAAACCCGCCCCATGGGCGGTGTGGACCCACACCTCCTGCAGCCGTCTGTCCCCCGCGGCAGGCTCTGGGTTACGGCGGACATGGGAGCTCGGGAATAGTTCGGCTCCCACCTGAGGGGCCTTTTCCACGAGCGTGTAGCCACCCCTGCACCAGGAGCAGCTGAGGACAGGAGCCAAGGCTCCTCCACGCTCCCCACACCCTCTCTTGCAGGCCCAGCCCCTTGGAGGCCTCTGCTCGAGACTTACAAGTCCCTGCGGGTCACGGGTTGGGAAGAGTCGTCTCTGAAGCAGCCGCAGTGGGCCTGCCAGGATTTCCACCTGGAGGTTGAGTCAGGCAGAGAAAAGGCAGAAAGAGGCCTCAGGGAGATTCACAGAAGCAAAAGCAAAACCAGAGACCCAGAGAGGGCCCTGAATTCCAGAGCGGGGAAGGGTGGCTGCCGGGGCTGAGCCCTCTCCAGGAGAGAGAGACGGACACGGGGGCGAGCCCTCCGTCGTCTGCGGGGTCTGGGCTCTGGGCAGCTGATCCTGGGAGGGGCCTGCCTGGCTGACCAGAACGAAAACAGGTGTTGTCAGACCTTATGCAACCCCCGTTTTGCTGGCTCAGCCTTCTGGCTACTTTCCCTCTGCAGGGGGCTCAGATCTGTCTCACCCACACCCCTTATTCTCATCTCTGCTTCGTTCTTGATGCGGGATTCATGCACACACGGTCACCTTTCCTACAACGTGTGAGGCTCTCAAAAGTGAGTCTTGGGGGACCCTAGGAGGCAGGTGGCAGGAAGCCTGGGGACGAGTGAGAAGAGCAGGGGCCAGATGGCCGCGCCAGGCAGCTCTGAGTGCAGGGATCACCAAACACGCTCTGTAAAGGGCTGATGGACACACAGTTGAAGAGTTGCAACTCACAGGGTCTTTGTCCCAGCTATTCTGCCTGGCACTTGGAAACTGCCAGGGATGATAGAAACCAACCAGAGACAATATGGCAGCCACGGGCACGGCTGTGCCAATAAAACTTTATTCACAAACAGGCTCGGTGGCCCTGCTTTCTCTTAGCCAGTGGATAATGCCCTCAGCCCTAGGGCATCTGACCCAGCGGTAGGGCCAGGTCACAGGGAGGCAAGGACAGGTGAGCAGTGCAGGGGCGTGGCAGTGCAAACGGTCGTGGCATCCCACGACCCCCTTTGAGGCAAGCGAGCACTCACAGCTGCGGTGAGGGAGATACACTAGGGCTTCGCCCAGCCTTGCAGGCCGGAGGCAGGGGGCTGGACGCCGGCGCTGGGTGCAAAGCTCTGCAGGCCATGTCCACAAGGGACTCGTGGGAGCTCCCACTTCCCATGAGGATGGGGCCATGATCCCCACGCTGCCCTCCTCCAGCCAGGGTGCATGCAGAGCCCCTCTGCCGCCAGCACCGGGCTAGGCGGGCCGCACCTTCATCTCCGACACCCTGTAGCTGTAGTGGTACCCTTTCCCTGACTTCCAGTTGATGCCATTGGCAAAGCTGTCATGGGCCCCCCTGAGGTAGCGACCGTTCAGATTTGACAAGTGACAGGTGACGTGCCACCAGGCTCCCTGATACTGCACAGCACAGTTCTCAGCAGCTTGGTCGTTGTCTTGGTCTTTGGTGGAGAAGGAGTGGTTGCTGTGGTATGTCAGAGAATCACCTGCTCAGAGGGAAAAACAGGGCATTTTTTGACGTGCTAGGGAGCCTGGATCCTAGGCCCAGTGCAGAGCTGCCATGGCCAGGAGCCCATGTCGTGCACTGCACAACTCCAAGGGGCACCACCCAGTGAACATGTGCTCTGCTCTGCTGGGACAGCCGCCTTGGCATCTCCTTGCCTGGTCTGCCCAGCCAGCTAACAGGCGTTCCTACACTTGGAGACCGCCTGGCTCTGGGTGGGGCAGCAGGGGGAGGCGTGCCGGGCAGCACAGAGCCTAGGGATTCAGTCTCTGTAGAAATATCCGTATCATGTTTCCTGTTCCCCATCAGTAATGGTAGCAGATAATCAGAGCCACTCTGTACCGTACTTTTACTACCTGTAGATCATAATTTTCACAAGTGCAGTCAACTGTGAGAGAACAGACGGATGGACAGACTGTGGGTCGGACAGGTTAAGTCACCCCTCAGTGTAGCATAGCAGAGGCATAGCCAGATGCTGGGCACACTCCCTCCACGTCCCCAGCACCCTCGGAGGCCCAGGCCACGCGGCCCGGCACAGACACTCACCCGCACTGCCCTCCACAAAGGCCCCCAGGACCAGCCTGTACTTCTCCGCCTCGCCCGCCATCTGGAAGGAACTGTACTTGGCAAATTGGTGGTTGTCCTCAAAGTCCACCAGGTCTACGCGGAGCTCGCTGGTCCCTGCGGGAGGAAGGTTTCAGGGTCCCAGCAGAAGGGCCCTCTGCCTCCAGACACGGGAGCTGGGGAACGGGAGCAGGGGCTGGAAGGAGGTCTGGGTTCCATGGAGGCAGAGCGTGGGGAGCACTGTGGCTTCCCCAGGGCCTGCGCAGCTCTGACCCGCAGGGAGAGACTCGAGTCCCAAATCCTCGAGGGTTAGAGGCAGAACTGGGGTTGGGCCCAAACTCCACTACGGGGCCATTGGGTCCCTCCTTCCCACACTCAGGATCTAAGGTGCCGGTGGGGCCCAGACCAGAAGAGGCTTCAGCCCAGAGATCTGATCCTCTCCCTGCCGCTGGCTCTGGAGTCATTGGGGCTCCATTCAGGGCCCCGTGACCCCTGATCCCAGGCGCTGCCCTACCCCGGGCGGTCAGAGCGTGAATGTTGTCATTTCCCAGCCAGAACTCCCCCAGCTGACTGCCGAAGCCCTGCTTGTACGCGGCCCAGTCCCGGTAGAAGTCCACAGAGCCGTCCACCCTCCGCTGGAAAACCTGTGGAGGAGCCGGGGGACGGGAGCCAGGGGCCAGGCCGAAGTCCCACAGCGCGGGGGACCCGCCCTCCAGAGGAGCAGTGCGTGCAGATGGCAGAGCATCACGGCCGGGCCAGCAGCTCGCAGGCCCCACGGGAAGATGAAGGAGGAAAGGGGGGCCCGGGAGGGGAGGCAGCAAGCCCCAGGCCACACCGCAGGAAAACGCCGGCCCCTCCCAGCCTCCCCCACGGCCTGGACTTTTACCCACGGGTCACCCCCACACCCCAGTCATCTCTGCCTGTCCCTGTGCAGGGGGATAGAGAACTCCAGAGTGTTCTCCCAGCAGGCGTGCAGCCTGGCCTCCGGGACTCCCAGGCTGGCCCACCCTGCCCAGGGCCCCTCAGCGCCCCCACACTCACGGTCCAGCCCCCTCCGTCCGTGTCCATGTCACACAGCACGGTCAGGGGCTGGCAGTCGGGCAGGTAGATGGTGTGCCAGCCGCTCAGGAAGTGCCCCCGGTCCCGCAAGTCCTTGCAGGTGCGTGGGCCTAGGAAGGGAACCCGGGGAGTGGCTGCAGGACGGGAACCCTGGGCAGGGCAGGGGCAGTGGGAGGGAGGCCCGGGAGGGAGGAGCAGGACCACGGGCATCTGTGTGGACAGAGCAGGACTCTGAGGCCTGGACGGGGACAAGGCCCTGAGGGCCATGCAGCTGTGATGGCCACGCCCAGTCTGCCTGACCCTCCCACCTCCCCGTGTCTCCCTACCTTCACCTCCAGGGAACCCAGCTTTTGGGGTACACTCTAATTTTCTTTGGGGCACAAGACTATGAAGGCCGTGCCCTGCTTCTTCTCAGGGCATCTTCCAGGGGACCCAGCACTGGGGTCCTGTGGATCTGGCCGGTGCAGAGGGAAGAAAAGGCAGAGGCCTCTGGGGCTGGGACTGCAGAGCACCCCGATGCTCCTGGTGGGTGCAGGTCGGGGTGGGCTGGTCTGGGGTGCATGTGCAGGCAGGGCTGGAGGATCCGGGGCCCACCACCCACCTGTGTTACACAGATCGGGTTCCTGAGGGTCTCCTGGAGACAGGGACAGACAGTAAGAGCTGGAAGTCAGATAACTTGTCCCCCGCACAGAGCAGAAGATGGTGGCGCTTGTCTCACTCTCCTGGCATGAAGGTGGCCACTGCCCTCCAGAAAAGCTGCTAGTGCCTGTGGCCATCTTGGGTGGCTGTGACCCTTCTTGTCCCTGGAGGCAGCAGAGTGACTGGGCCTGCATTAATTGGCCCCTTCCTCCTGCTGCATGTCCAAGCTAGAGGGAGCTTGGTGCTTCGGGGTCTCCCTGAACCCCTAAAGGCTCCAGAGTGGCCTGTGTTTGTAGATGTGGCAGGAAGGATGCAGTCAGGTGAGGTCTGGACAAATGGGCGTTGATTTACATTTAGAGGCAAAGTATGATGGAGCCTCCAGCTGAGAGAGAGAACGTGTTCTCCCAGCGCGTCCGGCGCAGCTCAGAGCAGCTCGCGGGGAACAGCGGGGTTAGAGGGGCTGCTCTCCCTGCAGCAAGCTGCTCTGGGTTTTCTAAATAATTTGTACACACGCATCAGACAGCGTTCTATTGCATGTGTTACACACATATAACAGACAAATACCTATTATCTGTATGTGTAGGATGTGCAGGTTTCTAGTTTAATGTATCTGTTGTATGCTCACACATTCTCTGTGATCAGACTTGTCATGAATGCTCCCTGCCCACTCGGGCCAACCTAGGTTTTTAAACAGTGCCCCAAAAGGACTCCTGCAGGGGGCAGAAGACACGAGGTGACAGGACAGGGGATGACAGGTGAGATAGGGTGAGAGGGGCTGGGAGAGGTGAGCAGATGACCCTGTCCCACCCACCCAGCAGATGCTGACCTTGGAGGGGGAAGGCTTGGTCTCAGGCCCACCCACAGGTGGATGCCCAGGCTCTGAGAACCCCCCCACCATTGAGACCCTTCCCCGACTGAGAACCCCTCCCCCACGCTAAGGCCTCTGCCCCTGAGAACCCCCTCACCCACACTCAGACCCCTGCCCCTGAGAACCCCTCCCCCACGCTGCGCAGGTGTGAGCTCTGGTGAGGACAGTGTGGCAGCCCCAGAGGCCCCATCCACATTCCTCTGTAGCCGGGTCTGTAAGGACCTCACAGCCCCTCCTCACTCTGGTCCCCTCCTTACCCTTGAGCCCAGGTGGTCCTGCCTTCCCAGGGGCTCCAGGGGGGCCGCGTTCTCCTGCAAATTCCAAAGACATTGACTTAAGCAGAGCTCCCTGCTCAGGACCCGAAGGACCCACCCTGGAGCTGGTGGCTGTGACTTCCAGTCATGACCCGGATCCTGTTTGTGCTTTGATGTGACCGTGGCCCCACCTGAGTGTGCCCGTCCTGCACCAGAAGGTTCTAGACCCAGGACCCAGGCCTCACGGGCTCTCCTGTCTACTCAGGGGCAGGGAGCTGGAAAGTCAGAGCCCATCCCAGAGCCCGTGGGTGCAGTCCCGGCTCTTCCCCTGCCAAGCATGAGAACCTGACAAGTGTCCTCACTTCCTGAGCTGCAGGTTCCTCCTGTGAAGCTGGTCCCTGGGAGACTTTTAGGCCCCCATCCCAGGTGAGAATAGGGACTGGGAATCGGAATCCTGCTGGTGGCCACAGCAGATGGTACCAGGACTGAAACCAGGGATGCTGCCAAAACACCCACTGGGCCCTCACTAGGTCATTGAAAGATGACGACCTGGCTAAGGTATCTCAGAACCCTGCTGGGCCCTGGGAGTCAGCTCTGTTCCTGGCTCTGAGCAGGGGCCCAACTCAGGCTCTCGATCTAGGTGCCATGGTGGGGGCGTTGACCAGCTCAGCATCTAGTTTCAAAAACAGCAAGAGCCAGTGCCCCCGCCATGCCCTGCCTCCCCACCCGGCCCAAACTTACCTCTCTGTCCATTGGCACCTGCCTCTCCCTTTGGTCCTGGGGCCCCCGGCAGCCCCGGGCAGCCTCGGAGAATTGTGAGCTTGTCGGAGCCCTCTACGCCCACCACCTTCACCTCTGCAGAGAAACACAGGTGGGCACCTGGGAAGTGAGATTTTCTCCTCTGCTGGGGCCTTGGTCTGTCCTCACCCCTCGGGCACTGGTGAGGAAGGGAGGTGAAGAGGGGCAGAGCCCTGGCGTTGGAGGCCGCCCCGACCTAGGGGAGCCTCCTCTCCTCAGTACTGTGTTCCCTGGGGACACTCACTGCACTCCGAGCTTTGCCCTCTGGGCTGCCAAGTGCGGATAACAACAAGGTTGTGGCCAGCGTAGACATAGAGAATGCGCATTTTACATCTCTCAGGGTAATTTACGGCACTTAGAAAGAGCCGCATAAACAGTGGGCCCTTTCAGTAACCAATGACAATAAATATTCCTAAGAAAATGGGGGGATTGGGGCTGACAGAGCGTTTTCCCTCCCAGACCCTGGGAAGGTGGCTGTAGAATTTCTGGGCTGGAAGGGGCCTTCTCAGTCCCGTGGAGAGGGGCAGTGTGGGGTCCAAGGACACAGAGCCAGGGGTGGCAAGGCTGGAGCCAAACTGAGGCTGTTTACTTCTTTGAAAGAACGTTTTTGTTGTGGTTGATTACAAATCGACGTGCCCTCCCAGGGCCCTCATAGAGGCGGTGGCCTGGAACAGAGCCCTCGCCCCGCTCACTGGTCAGAGCACCTGTAGATCACTTCTTTTATTTGCTTATTTTTTCTCATTAGAAAAGAATACTTAATAATGTTAGATAATCTAGAAAATAAGACATGCTGGGGGAAGAAATTAACTCACCCGTAACATAACCAGTGCAGGGCCCTGTGTGCTGTGTGTTTCTCGGCTCCCACTCGGGGCCTTTCCCCGCAGGACCCATCATTGCCCCGGTACCCTGGTCCACTAGGAGCAGGCTCAGGCCACGGTGCCCACTACGGTTTATGGCAGCCATCCCTGGTTCTGAGCCCAGAACAAGGTCCTCCAGCATGGTCCCGATGCAGGGGGGCCAGAGCCTCCCCCAGAAGATGGAGCCACAGGTGGAGCTGCCGGGAGCCACCTGAATGTCCCAGGAGCGCTGGGAAGGAGGTCTGGAGCCCTGGGGCCGTATCACCCTCACTGGACCACATCAGGGACACAGTGGAACCTCCTGTCCCAAGTGCCAGGTGCATTCCAGGCTGAATTCCCCGCAGAGCTGGGGCTTGACCCTGCTGGCCACATGGGAGGTCTCCCGGTGACAGTGACCATGGCACAGACTGACTAGGCCCACCCCCGGCCAACGCCCTGCACGCCCACTGCCCCCTCCCAGGCCATGGGACTCTCTCGACGGCCCTTCCATGGAGGAGGACTCGGCCCTGGGAAAGGGCAGCTGGGCGGGACCCCCCATGGGCTGGGTGCTCTGGGTTGAAGACCCGGCTCCTGTGTTAAGTTGCATCTGTGTCTCTCAACCTGTGTCTCCTCTTCAAAGTGTAAGGCTTACAAAGAGCTGTTGAGGCAATAAGGCAGGAAGCTTCCCAAAGGGCAGGGCACCGGGCCTGGCACGCCGTGAGTGCTCAGCAAGTGGCCGTGGTCAGCTTCCCGGAGCCTGATGGCTCTAAAGTCCTACTCCCCTGGGGGCTGACTCACCTGGACAGGTGTCATCAGTCAAGGCCATGGTGCACAGGAAGCAGACGACCAGGAGACCGGGTCCCATGGCCACGGGAACTCAGCTCAGCCCTGGGGCCCTGGTCTTTGCCGCTGAAGGAACTTTGTGGCTCTCACAGGGCTGCGGCCGCCCACTGTAACCTCTGTCTCTATTTCCCAACCCCACTGGGGATGGCCACTCCCTCCCAATAGCTTGGTGGCCCCAACTGGCAGTGGAGATCGCCCCGGGGCCATTGTCTCCCACAGGCCTCACGGGCTTCCCGCCTAACGAGCCTGGCTTCCCCTTTAACGAGCCAGGCTTCCCCTGGCGGGGACACTGCCTGGCAGAAGGCTCTCTGAGGCCCACGTGGGAAGCACCCGCCCATTTGTGTCTAGAGAAAGCTCAGCAGGGACACTGCCTGAGGCCCGCGCCAGGCAGAAGGGCTTGTGGAACCCAGTCCTTGAGGAATTCACTCGCAGAGAATCTGTTCTAAGTCCACAGAAGTTTAGGAACGTCCACGGGGACATGAGGTGGCTCTCAGTGGAGGGAGAGGGGAGCTGGATAGTCACAAGGGGTCTCCCTGGGCAGTTCACAGGGAGTCGGTTCCAACCTTAGAGGACGCTGGCTGGCGAAGGTGGTGTGGGCAGACCAGGAGTCTTCTCAAGGAACTGGACCAGGGGCCCGTCCAAGCCGGTTCCGCACAGACACGGGGCGGCGACTGGGACAGCAGCAGCTTCAGGTGAGGGCGGGGTGGGGAGGGGTGACATGAAATTGCCCGCGGGGAACGCTGGACGCCTGCCCCCGAACCAGGGAACAGGAGGATTGGCCCCAGCTTCGAAGCCTGATCCATACCTCTTAGAGAAGAGCAAAATCCGGAAGAAAATGGTGGCCTCAGGTTCAGTCCCATTAGGGAGAGGTGGCAGGCTGTGGACCCAACTGCACCACCAGTGGAAAGAGCCTTGTGAGGCTGAAGCCTTCATGGCACATCAGCTCTACGTCCCTGGCATCATACGGGCCTGAGAACACAAAGCCATTCGATGACCACAGCTTTGACCATGCCAGACCCAGTGTGAGCAGGATGTGGCTGGGAAGGAAGGGCAGGCTCCCAGCGGTGTGTGGAAATGGAACCCAGAGATGTGGTCTCCCTCCTGGCACCTTCTCTCCTTGCCCAAGTGCCGTGGGCAAGACTCACACAGAAGCAGTGAGCCCCCCCTGAGCTGGTAGCTCAAAGCCGACAGCAGCCTGCCCTGGGTTCCCTGGCCCTTCGTCACCTGGGCTCCCTGCGTGCTGACTGCCTCCTAAGTAGGCGTCTGTTTCTTCTAAAGTCTAGACAGGATCGAGAAATTGAAACTCATAGTATGAATATTTTAGCATAAAGTAATCTATGTCCGTTTGGTATTTTGAGTATTGGAGAATTTGGCCTATGTCAGTGACACCTTGACAATCCAATTGAAAATGTGAACTCGAGGAATTGAACGAGTTAGTGATTTTATGTGGAAATCTGTCACGTGTGCACAGTTTTAGAACATTTAAGAGACCTCCCCTAGGTTCATCACGGTCGTATGTTTAAATTACTAGATTTTGAAAATCAGTTTATACTCCGAGGTGTTGCTTAAAGTAGAAAACTGAAATACTAAAGTATAAATTTAAATGTCTTAATTTTGGAATTGCAATTAAAATGCTTAAAGCTATTAAATTAACTGTCAGCAATGGACCCAGAATTATTCACAGGCCCCATAAAGGAAGTTACTAACCTTTGCCTGTTACAGGCAGAACAAGGTTTATCAACTAGATTTAAAGGCTCAAGGAAGCACTGGACTTTTGAAGTTGTTATTTTAATACATTGAACAAGTTACATCTGAATTGATCTTTTATAAAAACAAGATCACAAGGGTGATCTTCTCTGTGGGAGGAATAAAAGTAAGCAATGAAACACCATGAAGGGAAGCCCCCATATCACCAGGACCAGGAACAGCTCGGCTGCTGGGCCTCTGAGGGTATTTTTGCTAAGCATGAGGAAACAGGGGCCACAGAACTCCCTATGGGTCTACAGATGCTCCTGCCACACCCCCGCCTCCCTCCACCCACCACGTCCTTACGGGTGCTCTATAGCAGCATTCCCTGTGCCAGCACACAGGGATTTGGCTTCAAACTGTTCTGGCCTCATGTTGGAAATAGATGCTTGGTGCCACAAAGAAAAATCAGCACTGAGACAAAGGATTTTTCCGTGCAATTTTTACTTCCTGGACTACAGGAATGGTACCCTCACTAGCCATTGTGTCCCGAGAGTACAACGAACAAAGGAAAACACACAAATTTATCCCTTACGCATTTGGGGTCGTCCTCACTGCTGTGTCTGATCTTCGTTGGCTGGAGCCAGATCTCACAATCTAAACTAAAACTTGATTGGCTAACAAAATTTAAAATTTAAAAGTTTTAGTTTTAAAACTTTTCTATTTTATGTAGTAAAAAAAAAAAAAAAAACTTTTCTAAACAGGTAAAAGCAATGGAGAGCTGGGACATGCCTGTGAGCACGTCCAGCACAGATATCTTGGTTAAAGTACAAGGACACAGAATGTACTACGTGCCTGTAAGCATGGCGTGTCTCACAGCTACAGAGGATAGGGCTTCACAGAGTTATTAGCACACTCATTCTTCAATAAGAAAGGAAACTTTATAAAGGAGCTTTTCTATTTCCCACACTCACAAATATGAGAGAAAAAGGGCTTGTGTTTAATAAACTCCTACTACATGCCAGGTACTGATGTATGCCCTGTGGTGCAGGAGGGAGCAGAAAGACCAGTCCCTGTGTTCTCAAAGCCTGTCTATTGAGGGTAAACAGAAAATAAACAAGTAGACAAATAAACAAATGTTTAATTATAATATCAGATCATATAACTCGAAAAAGCAATGTGGGCTGCAAAGTAAATACTAGTAGAGAGTATTATTAAGATAAAACAAACTGAAAAGGACACAGCCTGCTATCGCAGTGGCTACACACACGCACATGCGCACCCACACATGCACACACACACACACATGCATGCACCCACACATGTATGCACACTCCCACATACACATGCACACCCACCCACACCCACACATGCACACACACACGCATGCACCCACACATGTATGCACACACACCCACATCCACACATGCACACACACATTATGCACACACACACATGCACACACATACACACATGCATGCACACCCATACCCACACATGCACACACACGCAACACATACAACACATGCACACGTGTGTACACATATGTGCACACACACATGCAGGCACACCACACATGCACACACACACATGCATGCACCCACACATTTATGCACACCCACCCACACACACATGCACATACACACCCACACATGCACACACACCACACATGCACACATGCATGCACACACACCACACATGCATACACACGCATGCACACACACACATGCATACACACACCACACATACACGCACACATACATGCATGCACACCACACATGCATACACACACATGCACACACACTACACATGCATGCACGCACACACACACACATACACACATGCATGCATGCACACACCCACACATACACACATGCATGCACACCCACACCCACACATGCACACACACACAACACATACAACACATGCGCACATGTGCACACATATGTGCACACACACATGCAGGCACACACACTCACTCACATTTGTTTCTTCTTGTCATAAAAGTATAGGATGAGTGACCTGGCCAGGCACCTCTCCTTCCACAGTGATCCCAGGTCCCCAGCTTCTTCCAGTATGTGGCTCTTCTACCTTCCATATGTGGCCCTGTCCTGAGGATGGTCTCCATTCCAGCCACTTGGAACTGGAAGAGAGCATGGAGGATCCTGTGGCAGGGGCTTCTGGTGACTCCCTGGGGCCCAATGGTGACGATGCACCTCCCTTCCACCCATCACCCCTTGGCCTGACCTGTACCACAGTTGGGTGACTGCAAGGACCACTGGGGAATTCAGCCTGTTTGTGTGACTGGGAACAGGAAACAGGGGTTGCTGAGCACACAGGAAAATGAGCTGAGGCTGTCCAGAGGATATGTTTCAAGGTTGCTGTTTGCGTGGTGTGTGTTTTTCTGTTCATTTGCTCTCATCCTGTTTGTCTCTGCAAATACCTTTCTTGTAAACAGCATACAACTGGATCCTGCTTAAAAAAAAAAAATCCACTGTGACAATCTGTGCCTTCTGAGTGCTCAGTTGATTTATGTTTAACGTAATTACCGATATGGTTCTGTGAGGCCTACCATCTTGCTACTTATATTATATCCTATCTTTATTCTCTCTTACCTATCTTGCCTTGGGCTGTTCAAGCATTTGTTAGTACTTCACCCTCTCTCCTCTGCTGACTTTTTATTTATTTATTTATTTATTTATTTATATTTATTTATTTTGAGATGGATTCTTGCTCTGTCAGCCAGGCTGGAGTGCAGTGGTGCCATCTTGGCTCACTGCAACTTCTGTCTCCCTGGTTTAAATGATTCTCAGCCTCCCAAATAGCTGGTACTACAGGCACAGCCACCACACCTGAATTCTTGTAACTTTAGTAGAGATGAAGTTTCACCATGTAGGCCAGGATGGTCTAGAACTCCTGACCTTCAAGTAATCCGCCCACCTCGGCCTCCCAAAGTGCTGAGATTGCAGGCGTGAGCCACCACACCATTTAAGGGAAAATCTTAAAAGCAACCAGAGGAAAAGAAAAAAGAAGAAATTAATCAAAAGGGTAAACAACTTCTCATCATAAAAGGAGAAGATCATGAAAGAACATTTCTAAGGTGCTGCAAGACAAAAATTCTTAACTTAGAATCATAACGAGATGATTCAAAAATGAAGGTGAAGTCAGGTTTTTTTCAGTTAAGTGAAAGCTGAGAGAATGTGTTGCCAGCAGATCCATGTCCCCAGCAATGCTGAAGGGAGGTCTGCAGTTAGGGGAGGTGTTACCAGATGGAAACACAGATCCGTGGGGAAGGTGGAAGAGCCGTGGAAGTGGGAAATCTGAGCCAGGCTCTGTCTCAAAAAAAAAAAAAAAATTTTTCCCCTGACCTTTTGTTTTTGGCAGTATGCCTTGGTGTGATCTTCTTTGTTTATCCTGCTAGGGTTTCACTGAGATCTTAGATATACACGTTCATGCTCTGGATCAGATTTAGAAACTTTTGGCCAGTATTTTTGGCCACCTTCCAGCGGCTTCTTGGCAGTAGGTTTAT